CAGCTTCATAGAATTCTTTCGACGTTTCTACATAAGAATCTTCAGTAATGATATTCTCAGCAATCAATTTAATCAATTCAGGTTTTACAACAAGTGGAACAAATTTGGCATTCTTTCGTGCTTTCAATTTAAATATCAAATCCTTAACAACCGTTCCAGATTCTGTAACACATTTGTCATCGCTTTCAATTTTCAAGATGCTTTGATTAAAAATTGCAGCATGCGAATACGCAAAAAACAACCATAACTCGGTTGTTTCACTCTCAAAATAATTCTTCAAGATTTTTGGGCACTTTTTTTCAGACAACATAAATTCTTTAAGAAATGAACAAATTTTAAGAATTCTTTCTACAGCAGGAAGTAATATCAACCACCTAACATGAATGTGTCCTAAAATTTGATGATATTATTGGTCAGCATACTTACAAAATTCTTTCAGTCTTTCTATTCGGACTGTGTAAATTTTAAAATAACTAAGAAGTTTAGATACCATAACTTCAATATCTACAGGCAAACAGTTAAAAGCAGTTTTAGCGCCATTATGTATAATATGCGCATTACACCCAAAACCAAAAATATCTCTTCCTAACTCAGTTTGAAGTTTAGTATGAACATTTTCTGTTCCTCTTCATAACAATCCTCCAAAATTAGTGTTAGTATTATCCGCAGACAAACCAGCCATTTTATCCTTCAATTGGAACTCGAATATTGCGTTTAATATTTCTGAAGATAAAATTTTTGCAGTTTCTCCTTTAATTTCGTTTAGTGATACAAGTTTATTATTAATTGGATCGTTAGCACAGTCCCACTGAAAGTACCGCACTAAAATAGGAAGTAATTTTACATGATTGTGATAGGAAGTATTGTAAGATATTGTTACAATTTGAACAGACTGTAAATCTTTCTTCAATTCAAGAAATGCCCACGGAGAAAAAACATTGAAAGCGATAGCTTCGATTTTTGTTCGGGGACAAGAAAATTTCTTGTCTACAAATTTCTTCTGTAAATTTGAAGTACAGTCCATGCTGCGAAATGATTGGTTGTGACGAATAGTATGAAATGCAAGCGTTCCTTCATATGTTGCTAAGTCAAACTCTTCTTTGGATGGTTCCAGCTAACGAAAAAACTGTTTGACGGATTTTGTTTTTGCTGCCAAAGCTTCTTTGTGTTTAATTGTAAGAATGTGATCTGCTATAGCTGTTCGTCCTCCACTTCCAACAGAAAACGTTGCTCCACACATTGTACATTTCACTTTGGAAGAATTATCAGGATTCGGTTCAATAAATGGAAACTCGTTTTTCCAATCATCGAAATAATGGCATTTTCTTTTTTTGTTTCTGTTGCCATATTGACATCTATTTTAAAGAAATACAAATGTTTTTCTAAATATCTATTACGATAACAAATTATGAGGTTTTCAAAATGTAGAATAATTAGAATTTATAAAAATTATAATATAAATGATATATTATATAAAAAAATATATAAATGATATTATATATATTATATAAAAAAATTATAATATAAAAAATAGAATTTATAATAACCATTTCATAAAAAATGGTTTTATACTTTATTGGTTGGATATTTATAAAATGTTTACCTGATTATAAAATGTTTTAGTTATTTTTCTAAAATAAAACGGAAATGTAGTAATTGTTGTTGTTTTTAGTGGAAATTAGCTAATATTGGCAGTTTATGTAACCCAAGATATTAATTGTTTTAAAAGCAGCAACTAATATTCATGTTACGTCTTGCTTTAAACTTCTTTTCTTATNATTCACCGAATCACATTAATTTGTCATCGACTCTATAAATATCAATTCTTTTAGCCCTTCAACTGCACATGTCTTCGATTATTAAGCAAAAATCTAAAGAAATAAACTTAGAAAACTTTATTGTATATCAAAAATACTAATAAAACAATACATTTTTGTCATACACTGCAACAGAACTGAAAAAATTCAAATCGTGTTTTCTTCTTTATTGCGTATTTTACGCATCACAAGTTTTCTATTGATGTAAAACATTTCCAAGTCAGACTTCAATTTTTTGGCGATTATCATTTCCCTTATCTCAGCTTGAAAGAGAGTCGTTGTGGGAGTAAGGCGGCAATGAGACCAGTTGTTGCTGTGAAATCTACTTTTTCTCCTGGTGCAGTTGTAACTTCATAATATTTCATAATCTCAGTAAAATAAGAAAGAATTTCCATCCAAGCAGTTACTCCACCGGGGCAATTTCTTCTTCCTAAAAAAAGCTCAAATGTAAGCTCATCTGACAAAAAATTATTCCCTCCTAAAGAAATTCTGAAAATCGAAACTTAATACAGTGTCTCTAGGCATGATAACCACTTTAATCTAGATCCCTAATCCAGAATTTTTTTTTCTTCTTGTTCTAAACAAAACTTTTAATGATAGAGTCATTAAAAGTCATCACTTTATTAGATTAGGAGAAAATTCTTTTAATAAAGATTGATATTTTTCTCAAAACTGTAAAGCAATAAAGTTATTCAGATCTTTATTTTAAGAAATGAATTTACAACTGTACATTTGCTTTTTTTTTTTTTTTTTTTTTTCAAATTTAATTGATAATACAAAAAAAATATTTAATATCTATAATTTTTTTTAAAAAAATGCTTTTTTATTTAGGTTTGTGATAAAGTTTTTTTATATAAAAGTAGAAAAATTTATTTTTCAACAAAAAGAATGTATTTTTTAATGAAATGAAAATTTTTGAAAAGGGTATTTTTTATCATTCCGTTCTTTTTATTTTCCAGTTATATGGTATTCATATGGTTAAATAATTAAACTATTTTGAATTTTCACAATTAAAAAACTTTACTTCCTAAATTAATTTAAATTAGTTTTTTTCATTATATTATTTGTATTTATTGATCAGCGCATCTTACATGATCTTGTATTGGATAAGATTTTTTTAATGTAAAAAATGAACATTTAAACTTATGATATATTTAATTAATATGTATATAATAATATATATTATAATTAGGGGTCTGTTTAGAAGAAATTTGGGTCCGTTAACGGGACCCTTCACAAAATATCTTCTCATAAAAACGGACCCTTCACAAAATATTTTAACTTAGAAACGGACCCTTCACAAAATAATTTATCTTTTAATCAGACCCTTCACAAATTTGTTTATCTTCATTATTGTTTTGTTAATCAAATAAACCCTTCGCAGGAAGGGGGGGGGGGAAGAAAGACAAATGTAAACAAACTAAGTGTTGCTTTTGGCAGGCGCTTCTTCCTTTATTTGTCCGAAATTAATATTCTGCGTTCAGCAGTATATGCTAAATACCAAATATTTATATGTTGCATCTCTAATTTAGTAGCAGTTATTTTTTTTAATTGAATTTTTTTATTATAATTTTAAAGTGTTGAGCTTAATCTTGTATGTCTTAACAATTTAAAAACTCATTGAAAAAGTTTCTTGCAATAACAGGACCCTATTTATACAAATTCACAAAAGCCGGAGCCTGGTTGAAAGAATGTGACTTAACGTTTATTTTATACTCACAAATTACATGTAATTTTTTCACAATTTTACAAAAACAGACCCTTCACAAAATGTCTGAACAGACCCCTGATAATTATATACACGATGTCATTCACCTAATATTTAGTAGACCTCACATGTTACTCCTCGAGTATTTATTAATATAATCTTTAACTTGACTCTTTCAGAACTATAAAAGAAACAATAAAAATTGTTAAATTTGAACAGTTTCACAATAAGTTGAACTAAATGGTACAATTAATAAAGTCTATGTTATTAAACTTATTTTCTTTTCTTTTTTCCAATTTTGACCCATAAAAATGTTAAGTCCAGGAAAATTTTGTTAAATCTTATGTTCAAACTTTTTTTAATGCTCAAAATTTTATTTTTCTACAGTTGTTACTCTGACTATTATAAAAAATTTCACAAGCGAGAAATTTATTTTATAGGTAATATCTTTGGGTAAACAAATCTTATTTTGAGCAAAGAATTCTCAATTTCTTTAAAAAGTTTTAGAGTTATAACGAAATACACAACATGTGAAATTAACGTTGAGGTGTCCAAACTTTATTTGCCTTCTTGTTTAAACTAGTGGGCCCAAATTTTTCATATTGAGCGACATAAATCTAAATCTGACAACAAAAAAGGGGAGTGGGCATGTTTAAGTAAGTAAAAAGTAAATTTTAGTGTCTTATTTTGTAACTTTAATATATACGTTAGTTAATTAGCGCGCTAAAGGTTAGCCCCGCAAAACATTACGATTGAGTTCTAATGTGTGAGAATTCAATTATTAGATCAAAAGTTATTCAAAGTGTTCAACTTTTTTGTTTTGCACACTACATTTGTTAAATTCAACTTGCTTAAAAGTTCATTTGCTATTGAATTTAATATTTAAAACCTGTATGATTATTATTATTAATTGTATATATTTAATTTTGATAGCTTGAAGAAAAGAAGCCTGCAGTTGAAATTAAGTAAGACACAATATTAATAAAATACTTATTAAGTTGAAATGATATTTTTTAATTACGAGGGTTGTTTTTTTTTCAACCTCCGATGGGCTGTAAAGAAAAGACCGGTCAATATAAAAAAAAGATTTTATCACCAAAAGTAATTATATCTCTACATAATCACCTTGACGATTAAAGCATTTGTCATATCTGTGAACAAGCTTTGCAATACCCTCTTCATAAAATGTAGTCGCCAATGATTGAAAGTGAGTTGTGACGGTTTCTTTGAGCTCCACGTCAGTTTGGAAGCGCTGCCCTCCAAGCCACTGCTTCAGTTCAGGGAAAAGATGATAATCACTCGGTGCTAGGTCGGGACTGTATGGCGGGTGTTTGAAAATGTCCCATTGAAATTGCTGAAGGGATCGTTGGGTTACACGAGCGTTGTAGGGACGGGCATTGTCCTGTATCAGAACAATTCCAGAAGTCAGATTGCCTCTTCGTTTGTTTTGAATAGCTCTCCGTAAGCGTCGCAAAGTTTCACAATATGAATCTGTATTAATTGTTGTTCCAGGCTGCATAAACTCCACAAGCAACACACCTTTTTGGTCCCAAAAAACAGTTGCCATAATCTTACGGCTGTTGAAGGTTCGTTTGAATTTTGTGGGTCTCGTTGGAGAGTTTGTGTGCATCCATTGTTGTGATTGTCGTTCCGTTTCGGGCGTGTCAAATTGAACCCATGTCTCATCACCTGTCACAATGGATTTCAAAAAATCTTCTCCATCAGTATTGTAACGGTCAAGAAAATCCCAAGCTGCACCCATTCGGCGAGTTTTGTGGTTGTCAGTCAACATCCTTGGGACCCAGCGAGCGCAAACTTTTCTGTAGTGCAACCGTTCAGTAACGATAGAGTACAGGGCAGATCTTGAAACACCTGGAAATTTCATCGATAATTCACTTATGGTGAACCTTCGAGTTTCCCTAACCGCTTTGTCAACGTGCTGAACAATGTCGTCTGGCGACAGACTTGCATCCTTGACCGCCTTCGTCATGAATATCAGTTCGGCCATCTTTAAATTTTCGACACCATACGCGAACAACGCCATCACTCATAAAGGTGTCTCCATACACTCGACTCATTCTTCGATTAATTTCCGCTGCACTGTTCCCTTCTGCCTGCAAGAAACGAAGAACATCTCGCAATTCACAGTTGGCGGGAGAATCAATAGTGACAGCCATGCTTATGTGACTGCAACTCAACTGGAAATGACTTGTTGGAATCGGCATGACAGAGCGTTTGAGCGGGAAAGATGCGCAGTCGCTTAATGCGCACACCAAACACCTGCTGCATTCCTGGCCATCATACTGTGCGATCGGAGGTTGAAAAAAAAACAACCCTCGTATTTATTAAGCTATAATTCTACTTATCTTTAAATATATATATTTTAATTTTTTGATTGAACCATGGTTAAGATATCTTCCAACCTATTAGAAGAAATTAAAAATGACTGTTATAATTGTTTGGTGATAAATATTGTAAAATAGTTTAATTTATAATGAAACAATGCAATATTATTCACATAGACTTTTTTTTTTAAAAGTAGATGTTATAATTTTCTCACTGTTTTATTAAAAGAGCTCGTGGCTGAGTGGTAGCGCTTCACTTTCCCCTGCCACAGGTCCTGGGTTCGATCTTCCGGCTGGGCAAGGTTAACTCAGCCTTTCATCCCTTCAGTGGGTCGATAAATGAGTACCAAGCATGCTTGGGATCTAAACACTGGGGGTTTCGCGTTCGGTTGACCACCTAACTGGAACATCTGCTCCTGCACTCCACAGCCCAAGGTCAAGAAAGTTGAGATTGGCACAGTAGGCCTTGGCCCTCTAAGGGCTGTCACACCACTGAGTTTAGTTTTTTTATTAAAAGTACAAAAAAAGTAACTACTTTTATAACGTTTATATTTTAAAAGAATTTCAAAATCTTTACAATCACATTATCTAACAGTTTTTTTCACTATTCATACTTCACAATATTTGATTTGTAGGAGTGTTATGATTAATTGCTACTGCTAATCACAGTTGAATTTGTTTATTAAATAGTATTAATTAAATTTGTTTATGATATTTTAGGAGTTCTTATAAAATTGAGTTCAATTATACTATTTTTTGTAAAACATCGAAAGAAACTGCAGTTATTTTAATTTCTTAAGTAATTTATTATATTTATAGTTCTTTTCCATTTCTGCTTTTTAGTTTTAATTTTGTTAAAGGAAAAGAATGTTAACTATCACGAAAATTAATATTATTTGAACTTGACTGCAATTATATTCGTTGAAATATTTTATATTTCTTCTAGAGCATTTTTTACCTCTCTGGAAGAAGCTTTTGTATCTAAATTTATTTAGTTATCTCATAATATATTTACATCTAACCAAGTAACTCTTCAAATCCTTATTATAGTCAAATAATTATGTATTGTATTTGTATTTTTAGGACACCTGGAGAACATGTTTTAAGTGAAACAGATAATGGGATATCGAGGTAAGTTCATCAGTGATCGTAATAAATTAAAAGTAGCTTATAATATAATCTTATATTATAAAAATTAGGGTTGAATGTTTTTTAAAAATAATAAATGATAAAATATAAGGATAATTTTTATTTTTTCAGAGTTATATTTGAACCTGATTTTATACCAGAAGCTGAAGCGGATAATATGATGACCCTTTTAAAAGACAGTACAGCATGGTATGACAAAAATATAATTATACATGGTCAGGAAGTGCCACAACCTAGATTAGTTGCTTGGTATGGACCTTTTCCATATGCCTACTCTGGAGCTGTTCTTGAAGCACGAGAAGTAGGTTTTGTCTATGTATTTTTTATCAATGCTTCAGTTTCAAATTTTTTCAATTATAGCGAAATATCAATTCTTGGAGAGTCTGAAACAATTATTGTGTAAAGAAAAATACAGTCAAACTTCTATTTAACGAACTTCCATTTTGCGAAATTCTCTATTTTGCGATTATTTTCAAGGAACCAAGAACATTTTGGAAATTTCTTCGTAAAATAACTTCCAAATAGCGAATTGAAATTTCTATTTAAGGGGGGGCCCAACCTTGAGATGGTAAAATAGTAACGTTTTTCTTGAATTTTTTTTTAAGTAATAGAGGCAATGCAGAGACTCCTTGTTTTTTTTTTGGTGTTATTTAGCTACAATTTAAGTCTATTTTTGAGACACCCTACCCTGTCTATGCATAATGGCTGGTTCCAATTCAATGAGTTATTTGCTGATTGTTTACATGACGGGCAATCACTCTGGATTAAAACAGAGGCTCTTTCCCTCAATTCTGTAATGTTTTGGAATATTAACAGTATTGTTAGTTTCATTCATTTCAATTAATATGACATAACTATATTTGTATACTATAAAGTGATTCAGTCTATTATAAGGCACTTGAATATAACTAATTTTATCTTGAATGTAATCAATCACATTTTTATTTTTTAAATAATTATAGTTAAGACATAAGAAACATGTAATTATTAAAACATTAGCGCAATAAACATTTTTCAAATCCAATTTACATTAGTAAAAATTACGGAAATTTAGTCACTGGGCCACGAGACCAATTACTAAAAGATATAACTAGTTAATACACATTTTCATGTGCCTGTTTGCGTTCAATAAAGTGAATTTATAAAGAAAATTAAGATATAAGTAACGGGAAATATTTACAATAATGATATTCAAAACATGAAGCTGATAACCAAAACAGCATGCTATTCATTTTCACAAATTGCTAGTTCTGGGACCCATTAGCAATTTTATGGTAGACCAAGTCAAATTTAAGTGGTCCTGGACCAATAGGCCACCATTAATTTTGAGCCCTGAATTTATATCAATCTAAAGCCTGAAATAAAACCTAAGAGAAAAAAATTTTAAATAAAAATTATGAAAAGTGTTTTTGTAATTAACAATTTTATCTTCAAAAAATTATAATTCTAATAAAAAATTTCTTTTGTATTTAGATATAAATTTTTAAAATGTATGTATATGTTGGTAAATGCTTAAATTACCATTAAATTTATGTTAATTGAAATCCTGACAGTTTCAAATTTTATTTTGGTAATCTTAACATTTTCTTTTTTTCTGGTTAATGGCATCTTTTTTTATTTTTTTTATGACACTCCCTTATTTATGTGTTTGTAAGAAATGAAATTGTAAATACTGTATATAAAGGGTTTAATTGTACATTTCTTATCCAGATGCCTCCAGCAATTGTAGAGATAAAGAAGAGAGTTGAAAGATATTTAGAGGCCCACCAACTCTGTGTGGATTTAAATTCTGTTCTCTTAAACCTGTATAGAGATGGAAAGGATAGTGTGGCATGGCATAGTGATGATGAATTAACTATGGGTGTCTCACCTACTATTGCATCTGTTTCTCTCGGTGAAACTAGAAAATTTCAAATGAAAATTAAACAAAATGTAAGTGTTTCACTTTAAATAATCTATCTTAAACCAGGGGTCCGTTTAGAAAAAAATTTGGGTTCGTTAGCTGACCCTTCACAAAATATCTTTTCATAAAAACGGACCCTTCACAAAATAATTTATCTTTTAATCGGACCTTTCACAGATTTGTTTATCTTCATTATTGTTTTGTTAATCGAATAAACTCTTCTTGGGGAGGGGGGAGACAAACTAAGTTTCCCTAAGTTTAAATTCCAAATGTAGTATTCTAAGAAAATATTTCTACTTTTGCAAATATCATGTGCACATTCTTATTAATCTTAAATCATAGTTTTTTTTGTAAATAAATAATTGATCAATTAATATTTATTCATAAAATTAATCAATAGAATATTATGTAAATAAAAATTAATTTCTGGCTATTTTTTATATAAAATATTATAAATTTAAGAATTGCTTCAGTTAACTGTAACTTCAGTTTCAGTAATGCTTAACACATTAAAAGTGATACACTACTGGGTTGTGTTATTTAAAATATGTCAATTGAAATTATTAAAAATGTGAGTGATTTTGTTTCCATTATTTGTCCAAAATGAATATTTTTTGTTGAGCATTATAGGCTAAATACCAAATATTTGTATGTTGCACCTCTAATTTAGTAGCAGCGATTGTTGAGTGGAATCTTGTATCTAACTTACAATTTAAAAACTTCTTGAAAAGGTTTTTTTGCAATAACAGGACCCTTTTTGCACAAACTCACAAAAGCAGGACCCTGATTAGAAGAATGTGACTTAACGCTTATTTTATATTCACAAATTATGAATAGTTTTTGCACAATTTTACAAAAACAGGACCTTTCACAAAAGGTCTGAACTGACCCATGTTGACAGTTACTGTCTTATAGATCTTTGTTTATTATTTTCTGACTTAAGTATTATCACTTCTGATGACCACACTGTTAAAATTTTGAATTTATGTAAACTTGATATCATTTGAAGACTTGAGACTATATAAAATAATACAGAGTGTGCAGCGGATGACTGACTGATTTCAGTTTTAAAAATCTCGAAAACAATAACCAACAGAGGAATGAAGCAAATGGTATGGTTATTGTGACAGCTATAAGAAGTTTTATTCAAAAATTCTGGAATTTAGTTACAAATTTTGCCAACAGATATCACTGCAAACTATTGATGATCAGAACAATCAGTTTTAATTTAAAAACAAGAAAGGAAGATGCCCTGCCATGTTAAAAGATTTAAACCATCTATTCTATTGAATAGCATGTGTTTCTGCTAATGAAATATCACAGGTTGGATTACAATCCTATGACAGAGTTTTTTTTTTTTTTTTTTTTATGAACTCAGTACAGAACCATTTGTACATGTCCATGTACAGAACCATTGTCATGTACAGAACCATTTGTTTTAGCAACTTAAATCCAAAACTTTTTCATGAAATTTTTGCAATAGGCATACCATTTGATTCATGTTTTATTCCTCTATCACCCTTAACGTCACTATGGAGAAAAGCCACAGTTTTGCGAAAATGTAAGGCGTTTATGTTCTAATTTTTTATTGTTTAAAAACTTGCTCTGATGCTGCATCACCTGGATTCATAAAAATTTACAAAAACAGAATAAGGCAGTTATTTTGATGATATTTATGTAGATGGAAAAATGTTACTAAATTGGTGATTTTTTGAAAAAGTTTAATAACTTTTAAAATATATTTGTCTGTTCTAAACCCCAGGTAATTCTTCAGCAAAATTATGTATAGTTTAAAATCGCATTGCTTCAAGTAAGGCTCTTTAACTATGGCTTTTTTATTTTCCTTATCGACAGAGCTTCAAAAAGCAGCATTAATGAAATTAATTTAATTGGTAGGTTAGTGATTAAAATAGCACACAATTATCTAATGAAGAAGTTATAAAAAGCATTTAGCCATTTCACATTTCTTTTCTATGCAAGCATGTATTTAAAAAGAATGAAAAGATTTTCCTTCTAATTTGAATTATTATATTCTGATTAAATTTTTTAAAAATTTTTACTTACATTCTTTAGTGTTTCAAAAGTTTTTGTATTATAATTGTATTTTTATGAAGTTATAACTTATTATTTTTATTTTTTGTATACATTTTTAGGTGCGTGAACGTGTTGAAAATCTAGTCTCAGAAGAATATTTTGTACATCTCACATCTGGAAGCCTTATTATAATGGATGGATCTATGCAAAAAGATTGGAAAGTAATTGGAATTCTTTTTGACATTTTATCAAGCTGAAATGTGTTGAGCTAGCAAGCTCAAAAGAATCTTTAGCTTTTATTCTTTAAATTTATTGTGCTACTTTATTAATAGTACATCAATTTTCAAAACCCTTGTGTTTAGTGAACATAGTCATTCATTCAACTTTTAGCATATATATACGTAAAGTTCCACTTCAAAATTTTAAAACTTCAACTTTCTTTTATTCATTTATTCACTTTTATTTATTTTTTTTACGAAATTGTAAATAAGGCAGAATTTTTTATCAATTTTTCTATGTGAAAATTTGTTCTATATCAATTTTTTTTTTCTTTTGTAATCTTTTCACTGAAGTTAATATATATTTTATCAACCTCCTGTACTTGAATTCTTTATTTTACAAAAAATATTGCAGTAAATCAAGCAATTGCAATAAATAAATTATGAACATATTTATAATGTGACTGAAAGAACTATGGAAATTTGTTTATTAAGTCAAGGTGCTCATTAAACTTGAGTTGGTTGAAATTATTAAAAATGAAATCTGTGATCTCCCAAAAGGAACTAGAAAAGAGGTTATCTTTTATTACTTCTTATTTATGGTACTCAGGTAAAGTGAGTTTTGTTTATGTTTTAACTTTGTGGTTTTTGTTCCACAATTATTTGATCTGCATCATTTATGGTATTTCATAAATTATCATTAATGCCCAAACTAGTGAGGAAACTAAATCATACTTTCTGCAAATAATAGCATTTTCATGCCATCATGCAACCTGAAATTAGGTTGTTTTTTTCTTTTCCTAACATGTATCTGTCCTTTAGAACAGTGTTCCCCAACCTTTTTATCACTGCGGACCTGTCAACGTTTGATAATTTTACTGCTGCCCACTGGGGGGGCATTGATTGTTTATATTTTACATCGTTTATATGTATTAATTTTAATTTAATTGTATTTAAACATGCCTTCAAAATAAAATACAGTTTCACCAAAAAAATAAATATAAAATGCTTGAACATTTTAACTTACTAGAACGTTAAATCAATGAGTCTTGATCGAGAGAGAAGACAAAGTTCTTCATTAGTTCCAATGTAAATTTTGCGCCGCGCTTTCGTGTTTTATTTATGATATTTGCAGTTATGATGATTGATTTTTTTTTTTTATTAAAACTAATAGAACAAAAAAACTATTGTGATGTTTTTTTTTTTTTTTTTTTTTTTTTTTTTTTTTTTTTNGGGCCCCTTTTTTTAAATAAATAAAATTTTAATGGAGCACAAATATTTTTAATTTGGGTTATAAACCTAGGTATTTAAATTCAGTTTCAATGAAATGGGCGACCCGGTATCATTTCATCCGCGAACCGAGGGTTCGGGAACACTGCTTTAGAAGATAGGTGTGTTGATGAAACGATTGAAATGCTAAAAGTTAAGAACAGATTGAGCTTGTTATTTACAAGCATTTGGACATAAAATTAAAAGCTTTAACGATGGAAAGGGCAAGAAGTAGAATCTGTTCGATGATTTACGTATGGCACATCTTCTGTTAATCATTTTAATGTCTACAGTTTCTATTTATCTGCTACCACCTAGTTAAAAAAATGAGAGAAGATACTGTCATTATTATATTGCTTATTTATATGCAATTTTTGAAGTGAAATTGACTTAAAATGGTTTTGAAGAGAATTAAATTTTCTCTCAAAGTTAGCTACATAAAACGCTGGATAAAATCATTAATAATATATTTTTTCAGAAGCCAACAAAAGCTCCTCACTAAATCCAAGTCTTGTTCAAAACAACATAATTTTATGTGGGCTTTTATAACATTGAAGCACAGAATGTGTAGCATTTTTAGAAAGTGCTTACTTTCGTTTTTTAAAAGCCCTTAAAGGTGCTTTTTTCATGGGGTGTTTTTAAAAAAGTGCTTAATTTTCCTATTTTGAAAATGAGATTTATTTCCTTTACCATGACTATTTTTGCTGCACATTATGCAAATTCGTGTTTTTTCACATTATTCTATTCAATGTTTTCACAATCCATTTTGGCATACTGTCGGTCCGTAATGTATGATAGCGCCAATTATATTACATATTTGAAGAAATACTTGGAAATATATGTGCGTCTAACTGAACTGGATTTGGTGAGATTATTGCACTCTCATGTGCAACTCTGCTGCATTTTGCAAAATATTTTCATTTTCCTCCCTCTGAAATCGAACAGAAAAATCATTCTTTTTATGGTGGCTAATATAGTCAAGAAAAGAATATTTTATCAGAAACTAGTTATTTTATTATCATGTAAAGTCTTTGAAACTTATTTTGCATTTTGTTAATGTATACAGTGCTTACAAATATGTTTTGAGTGCTTAAAAAGTACTTTAAAGGTGCTTATTTTTTGTTAAGATTTTACTCTGCACACCGAAGCTGCATTCAATTTAAAACTTCCTTATTTAATCAGGGCTTGCACTTAGCAAGTTCAATTGTATTAGGTTTTACATTAAAAGAAATTTTGTTGTTAAAAATTTAACAATTTTAAAAAAAAATTAAAATTAACAATTTATTAAAAATTAGCCATTTTAAAAAGAAAAATTTTTATACAGAATTGTTAATTCAAATGAAAAAAGTTAAAATAAATTAATATTTTAGTTTTCTACTTTTTTTGAAATTTAAACATCTGGTTGTTTTCTTTTTCTTTTTTTTTATTATAAAGGAATGTTATAAATGCCAGTAATTTTGATTTATATGAATGAATTATTGATGCTTATTCTCTGGATTATAATTATTTGAAATTTGTTTTTAAATTTAAAGCTTGTAATTATCCCATTTATTCAAATATCCCATTTCTACTTTTTTTAAAAATTGTTTAGTAGGTTTTCTTGTCAGTAAGTGTATCATTTCTATTTAAAAAAAATGTTTTTAATGTTATATATATTTCTTTCTTATTCTAGCATCAAGTACCCAAAGAATACCATGATAGAGCACCCAGAATTAATTTAACTTTCCGTACAGTGTCTCAAATTGACAAGTAGGTTTTAATTTTGTTAACTAAGCAGTTAAAACATATTTTATTTATTCTCTGGTACTTTATTTATTTGGTTTTTCATATTTGTCTTAAAATCAAGTTTCTGACCCATAAATCAAGCAGCCCTCAAAAAATTTATCAGCCACTTCCTGCTTTGCTACCAAAAAATAGTATGAAAATTGTTTAAGAAACATGTTGCTCTCGGATTTCTTTTGAGAATAGAAGATTTAATTTATCACTGATGAGATTTTCCCCTTTTTAGCAAAATTCAGCTTTTTTTTTTTTTTTTTTTTTTTTTNTTCACGAATTTGAAGATAACGCTTTTTTTTTTTTTTAAAAATTCAGTTTTAATTTTAAAAACTCTCATTTTTTTGCCACAAATTACGTTTTTCTAAAACTGTTTCGTTTTTTTAATTTGTTTTGACTAGAATAATCATATTTATTACAATTTTCAACAAAGAAATTTCTGGTTGATTCTTTATTAATAGCCAACCATTTATTAAAAGAATAATAAATTTTCTAATAATGAGAGTTAACAGATAAATTAAACAGATTTAATGTAATTTGTCTGTTAAGGGGAAAAAAGTATTGATTATTTTTCAAAATTTACTTTAGAAAAAGTATAGTTCATATAAATACTATAAACCAAAATTGAATTTAAACGAGCATGATTCGTGTTTATGATAGTTGCCAAATATTCGGGGGTGAAAGTTTTCCGTATTTTGATAGGTTTCCGTCTTTTTAAAAAAAACCACAGGATTGAGCGAAACGGAATATTACTATAAGTAAATTCTAAGTTTTTCTAATTTAATGCGATAGACAGATTCAGTGGGAAAAGTCTTAAATGACCAATTCATTCTTTGTGTTGTGTACATGCAATATGTTTTTAATCAATACATCTTAATTTGAATAAGCATTGTAGACTTAACATTTATTAAATATCAACATTTTGTTGAATATTTATTTTTACTAACTATGTTTAACTTAAAAATTGTTTTTGCTATTTATTAACAAAGTATTAACTTAGCTAGGTATTATTCTTTTCCTTAAGGTGCTAGCACTTTATTTTATTAGAAAATTAAATGTTTGAAAGAAATTAAAAGCTGAGGTAATTTTTGCTTGAAATAACTAATTACTTTGCATTTTTTGTTCATACTCCTGAATAGTAGGTTTGCTAAAATAAATATGGAATTTTTATAAGCCTTATTTGAATTTGCATTTTGTGTATTTTAATTTTTATTGAAAAGTTTGTTCACAATTTTTATGAAAAGAATTTATATATAATTTTTTGTTTACTTAAAATGATTGGATGGGATACACCCACTTCTGATTTTGAAATTTTCAATCTTGACAATTTTTAAAACTTGCACCCCTGCAAATATTTGTCACTGAATTTTTTGTTACTTTTTGACCTATTGACTAAAAGAAAATTTCCTTTGTTAGTAGCGTGTTTAAAACTATTTGTACAATGTTTTAATGCTTTAGAAAAAAAAAAATTTCTCCAAACTTTCTTCATTGTTTTTTTATTATTATTATTTAAATTATATGATTAAAATTAGTGTTTGAAGTAACTTAAGTGTGTTATTCTACTTCCTTCTTTTTAGTGTACTGTATCATAAAGACTAAGTAATTAGTGATCTTTATTTTTTATTTAAGTTTTTTTTTTCTTTCTCTTTGCAGAATACCCCTTCAAGTGCCTCTTAAAACTGTAGAAAATTCAAATCATCCTTCTAGTACAAAAACCGATGCAGAAAAGCATATTTTTGATAACACGAACTTTCCTTCCTTGGAATCTGCCAATTCACAGAATGGAAACAGTTCTAAAGTGCTCAAAAACTCTAGTGCGAAATCTAAGTCAAAAACTGATAGCCAAACGGATGCTAAAGCCTCTATATCAAACCAAAGTTTATCTGACGATTCTTTGCTACTGGATTCTTCTTACAATTCAAATGCCTCTGAGGATCAAGAACTAAAGAATGTCCCCACATCAGATGATGGTAATGTATGTGTATCATCCGACAGTGACAATCGAACTGATGCAACTAAAGCCTCAAATGCAAATAGCGAATCTGCAAGTGCCTTAGCTGGAATGAATGAGTTGGGGCATTCGGCTGGTGAGAGCAAGAGGTATGAATTGAACGCTGATGCTATTGAGTTCATACCTAAGTTTGCATTGCCCAGCGATGAAGCCGGCATTAGCGCTTCTGTAGAATTCGATAAGCAGCAAATAGTTAAACTTCCCGACTTATTTCGAGGCAATAAAGTTCCGCCTTCACGTTATGGCGAGTTCTATTCTGCTCTTATAGAAAAGTTGGAATGTAATCCAGAATTTTTATCAGATCGTGATTATTATGAAGTGGAGACACTTACTCAGTTGTATGAAAATGGCCTTACTGAAATTAATCAAGAGATTGTATTGTCAAGGTTGTGCTCCATGATTAAAAATGCTGCTAGAAAGAACCAGCGCGGTTATCGACCTCCACCTCCCAGAAGTGGTTATCGCAGCAGCACTTACAGTCGTTCCAGAGGATCCTTCAAGGGGTCAAATAGTAGAGGGAAGGACTAAAAAAATTCAGAAATTTTCTGGAAATAAAAGCATTGTTGTGTGTGTGTGATTTTTTTTTTTTTTCATTGATGTACTTACTTCTTTGTATTTTAATTCTTTATACATACTGTCAATCAGAGTTTGCAGTGTTTTCTTCTTGTAATATTTTAAACACAAAAATAATTTTGTAAGCAAATAAAAGTTTTAAATTAGTTGTTAATTTTGTTGCTAATAAGGAAAAGCTCTTTGTTTATTTGAAGTGTTTGGTTTTAATTTTTTTTTTTTCAGTTTCTTTTAAATCCTTTGCTTATAAATGTATTTATTTCTGGTATTATAAAGGAGCTATTTTTCAAAAGTTTTCTTTTTATTATATTGAGGGTATCCGCTCACCTGGAAAGTCGTGGAAAATCATGAATTTCAGTATTAAACAAAATTTGTCATGATTTTTACTATTTTTTAAAAAAAATCATGGAAAGTCATGGATTTAGGCCTCCGAAAAATCTAATTTTTAAAATGGAATCCCTCCCCTCCCCCAATTTCATCCTGTTCCAAGTATCTGAATTCCTAACAAATCACCGCTCAATCATATTTTATTAGAATATAAAATGATTTTATCATGTTCTTTAAAAATTATGGTATTTTTTCAAAAAATGAAAGAAAAAACATCATTTCTAGAGCGAATTGTATTTTAAACTTCTGTGATTTAAGAATTTATATTATTTAATTTTATCAATTTAAAATTCTAGTTGAAGCAAACCAGTCATTGGCGATTTTTTTTATTCCGAAATGAGAATAGAAAAAACAGGAGTATTTCTTTCCTTTTTGATGAACAGGAAAAGTATCTTTAGAATATAATTCTGTAGGGAAAAAAATATTTGCTTTTGTATTTTTTTCAGCTATTTTATTGTTTCAACTCTTTCTTTACTCTGCTTTTTAAATTTAAAATCTATAAATATGAAGATGCAGAGTATAACAGTTTTGGTTAGACCTATCATTTCAATTATTATTATGATGCTTTTTTAAATATATTGTTGCGTTTTTGTCGGAGAAAATAAGTTAAGTCATGAATTTGAAAATCTGAAATATAGCAGATACCATGTGTATTTCCCTTTATTATTTAAGCTTAACTACAAAAGTAAGGTATGCATCTCTACACTTTTTTTCCTATTGAATTTTATCAAAAAATTTTATTTATTCTGTCATTGTATTGTAAATTCTATCATTGTTTTTGGTGTTCAACTTTACGTTGCATTTTGTTTTACTGAGCAAAAACTAAAACAAACTTGAAATTGCGATGTACTGAGAATATGAAGGAATAAAACAATAATTTAACATTTACATAGCTGTCAACTCTACTGGATTTTGCCAGTTTCTCCTGGTCTACTGGTTTAANTCCTTAAATTAAAATTCTCCTGGTTTTTGTACATTTTAGAAAATTCCCTAAAATTGAGTAAGTTTCCTAAGAAAATCCCTATTGAAATAGAATTTTCATATAGATTATTGCTTGTTTGAATATTTAAATAAGTGTCACTAACACATAATAAAGCGAGCCTCATTTACAAAATCCAGTTAACTACCTTTGAGTTAAATTCGTATTACTATTCGAAATTATGAATAAACATAATACAATTCAAGTTCATTTAATGGGAAATCATAACTGGAAAATATTGCAGTTTTTCTATTTTGATTACTATAAAAATTCCCTATGTGTAAAATATTTAGTACATAGTTGAATTTCTTTCTATCAGTGTTGGCAGCTATGCATTTAATAATTATTTTTATACTTTTGGTTAAAAAAAATTTATGCAGCTGTAAAAGTGCAATAACAGTTTGAAATTTTATGTGCTGAAAGGGCAAATTTTGCACAAGAGCTAGTTTTTTATTTTTTAAGTTCCTATTTGTTTGAAAGGTATTGCAATTTGAAGAGCATTAGTTTTTGGTAACTAATGCAATAAGTTTTGAAATTTTAGGTACTGAAAGAGCAAATTTTGCGCAAGAACTCTGTTTTTTTTAAAAATTTTTTATTCCTATTTTTTCGAAAGGTTCACTTTGAAGTGCTTTTCTTTGGTACCAAGGAATATGGCTATTAATTAGTTAGGTTAAAACATCAGTTGCAACAATTTTTTTTCTCTGAGTAAGTAAACTTTTTTCGTGACAGATTTGTAGTATTGGATTTCAAAATATAGGAGTTGCAATCTGAAAAGTTGGCCCCAATAGATTATTCACAAGAGCAATTGAACAAATGTTTGATAATTTTACTTCCTAAATCTTCATTTTGCCTGCTTTGCTACATCTCAAAACAATTTTAGTCAATAAGAAGGGAGTTTTTTTGCGCATAATTATAAAATTAGCTCAGCTGAACAAAACTCAATGTAAAAAATAATTTCTTTAAAGTATTTAACTAAATGATGGTTAAAAAAAATTGCTTGTAATGTATATCTATTTTTACTTAATTTTAAACTATTTGTTAAATGACAAAATAAAAACTTAAGAGTGAAATCGGTTTAACAGTTAACTAAAACAATTTCCAAAAAAAGTTTTTTTTAAATTAAAATGTCTCAAAAATTTATGACTAATTTTATTAAAATTTTCATTTAATGTGTAATTGCTTTAAATGTTGCAAACATTTGCATACATTACAACTTAAAATTTTCCACCAATAAATGAAATGACAGTTAAAAATTAATTTTTGCTAGGAATTTTCTTTGTCTAAATTAATTTTACAAAAGTATGCAAAAGCTTCTTATTCAAATCTGTCATTTATTTTTTTTGTGAAATTCGCAAAAAACTAAACACTTGGGGGGTTCAAAGTTTTGATCTGTCTTCTGGCTATGCTGTAATATCGGCAGTATATTTTCCAAATCGCTTCTTGTTTCCCTCTATTATAAGGATCAAGAATTCATAATTATTGAAATAAAATTTTGTTTATTCAGTGTAAATATATTTTTGTGTCCGATTTCTTAACTTTAGTTATAATTAAAAATTATTTAGAATATTTAAGGTCAACCCTTTTAATCATTAAGTTAATCAATCTCAAAAAAAAATTCTTCTTAACTATTCAAACGATATCATGATATATTGTCATTTAAAATTACTTAGTTTAAAATGATGGGAAATTTTGCATACCTCGGATGTAACGAATAGTGATTTGGCCAAACACCGAATGTATGCCGAATGCAGAATATTTGATAGCTGAACAGAATTTTTTTTTAAAAAAATCCTTAATAAATATTAGTTTATATTTAGAAATAAGTTTAATCATTATTAAAAAATAATCAAAGCTTAGCTGTATTATTGGTTCGGGATAAAGAGAAAAAACTTGAATATAAATGTTTAAGAGAATAAAGATATTAAGATAATTAAAAATATTGAAGATAAAAAAAAATTAAAAAAACTGGAGTTGGAAGAAAGAGAATTAGAAAAAATAATCCTCTTAATTCTGAAAACAAAACTTGTGATAAAAATAATATTTTCTTGGAAAAAAAACTTCATAAAACATTAAACGAGATAATGTCTATAGCATTGCAAGAAATGCAATGCTATCCTAAAAACCCCTCTAAAAAAGCAAAACAGAAAAAAATAAAAATTGAACTTCATTTTTGAAAAAAGAATTTAAAGCTTAACATTTCAGTTTTCCTATTACAGTATTTCAAGAAAGAAAAAAAATGGAAGATTTAAGTCTAATAAAACCATTTTTATTGCCGCGTCATATAAAAATGTATATAAAAACATTAATTGTTTTAAAAAGAAAAAGCTAGGGAGAAAGCAAAATCATTTTTAAATGAAAGATTTAACGGTAAAAATCTTGATTTAACTTTCTCATATTACCGTATTTTTTGAAGAAGAAAAAAAAAAAGACCATGAACGTTCATTATAAACGCTCTTTAAAAAATGTTATAATAAAAACGCTGCTAAAAAGAAAAGAAAAAAAAATTGTTCTCAGTTCTGATATATAACTTTAACGTTGAGAATCACAGTATTCTATGTTAATAGTTATCTGTCTTGCCGTGTGAGAAAATTGTGTCTATAAAAGAATTAAATTTATTACAAATACTCAGTTATGCTTCGCTATAGTTTAAACAGAAAAAACAATGTTCTGAATTTTTAAAACATGAAGCGTTGAAAAAATACTGACCTATCATTATACAGTCCCTGGCCAAATTTAGATGCACTGTAAAATTCTATGTAAAATCTTAATTACCAGGCGATAAAATACAGGGTTATTCATAATTCCCTCCGCCTGTAAACGCCATTTTTCTTTACTACAACTGGTTTCAGTGGTGCATGTTACTGCCATCTACCGGCAACTGCTTAAATTAAAACTTGAATACTTTCGGAATAATTTCATATGTTCTTTTTTGCCATTTTCGTTTTTTTTCTTATAACTCTTCGAAACCACGGAGAGAATTATGAATAACCTTGTATAGTTTTTACGCGGCTGAAACCGGTTTGCATTTGTTTACGTCCGTGTATCAATTGGTTAACATTGTAATGCAATACTATAAAAATAAATACAAATAGGAAGCATATAAAATATCTGAATAAGAACCCATTACACGTGTGTTTAAATATAAAATTATTGCATACAAACTCGTGGAAAACATGTAATTATTAAAACACTACTGTGCGTCTAATAATTTGTCTAATTATTATAATATATTATTATAACACGTGATATAATAAATACTCTATAGTTATATAACATATTGCCTAATTTATCCAATCGTCGAATTTATATAATATATCGTCTAATCTAACCAATTGATACACGAACCGATTTCAGTCACGTAAAAACAATAAAGCTGTATAGTATCACTTGATAATTAATATTTCACATAGAATCTTATAGTACGTCTAATAATTTGCTAGGAGACTAGGATTGATATTTTTGTTTGAAACCTTAAAGAAAAATAACTCTAAGCTGAAATAAACCATTGAATACCCACGCTTGTCACAATTTAAAAATCCCGGCAGCTAAATTCTTCTAAATATTTTGTAATTTTTCAGCAAAGATCAGTAAAGTTCCAGACTTCAGAATAACTAACATTTAAAGTTTATTCATGCAAAGTCTTAAGTCTATGCAAATCCATAAGACGTGAGAATTTAAAACAGAAATATTGACAAGTTAACAACTCAGTGTGGGAGAATTGTAAAATATATTCTGGTACTCTGTAATAAGATGCAGATTAAAGGGGAGAACAATTTAGAGTTCGTTTCTAC